TTAATTCATCCATGTGTTTTTTTACCTTGTTATATTTTTTGTTATGCATTTTATATTGTTAACTGACTTGTTTAGTCTTCGGACTTTTTAATCAGTACTTGAATAAAACCAAATATCTATCTATCTATCTATCTATCTAGTCTTCGGTCAAGGGCGTGATTTACAACATCGTCGCCTTTGACCCTCAATCTACTGTAAGCCAGAGCATGACAGGTTTGGTAAAGGTCCGAAATGGAAGGTATGTTCAAGCCATCAGGGTCGTGGACCACAGCAAGATTGGCACCACGTAACGGTATACCTGACCATAACTTAGTATATCTATCTAATATTATATCAAGAGATTTCAAATGCGTTGCTTGGACATCATGAATGGTAAGCATGTAACGGAGAAACGGGATTGCATATCTAGTGAGTATCAGGCGCGTACACAAGGGGGGGGGGGGGGGGGGTATTTGGGGGGTTAAACCCCCCATTGGTATTTTTTGTGTGTAAACCCCCCTAAATTTCCCTAAACCGCCCCCCCCCCTTTTTGAGCTTTTTATAAAAATTAAAAAAAAAAAATTAAAAAAAATAAATAAATCCATGGCTGACCTAAAAAAGCTGACCTTACACCCCCCCCCCAACGGAGCAAAATGTCAAATTTTCAAATTTCGAGACCCCCCCCCCAAAAAAAAAAAAGTGTCCTCTTACGTGGCTTCCGATATTAATGTATGTTTTCATATTTTGAATGGCCAAGCATATCATTATTCTGCATGTATATATCTATTCTTGTATACATACGATATTATTTAATAAAGGAACCCTGTGGAAGGGGAACAAAATATAAATTTATATATTATGTAACAATATTCTAGATAATCGCTGAAAACTATCTATACAATCAACTTAAATCTAAATGGATTTTTCCGATTCTTGTTTCACAGGCAAACTTACAACATGTAGGAACCGTGTAAGACGTAATGAATCGTTTAGCATGTCTTTTTATCGCCAAAATTTCGGAAATATAACCCTTTACCCCATAATATAGGCTGTACATATATGAAGCTACACGATACTTCCGGGGAAAGGGAAAATGCACTTTATTGCTCCTGATCACCGTGACACAGCTTCAGCGGACAGGAAGCACGTAGCCCCCCCCCCTTCTATCGAGTGATGAGAAAAAAAATATAGAGAGACATACAGAGCGACAAAAAAATGAATAAGGGTCGGATAGGGGGAAAGGACCAGAAAATATGACGCCTTGAGTACCCCCTATCAGTTCCCTTGTAAATTCGCATCTCATTTTCCGAGTAATAGTCAGGTGGCTTAGCGTCAAAGTTTTCGATTATCGTTACTTGCCTGATAAAAGCACCATTTTAGGTACAGGGCTTTCTTAGGACCCACTTAACGATATAAGACTAGGAGCCCCTGGACAAAATTCAAATTAAGGGTGTGGGTAAGGGGCGTCTTATTGTAGCCCCCAAATAATAGCTCAATGTTATATTACCTAATAAATTATTTGTGGGCTACGAGGCGACGCCCCCGCCCCACATGTTTTGCCGGGGGCTCCTACCCTAATATCGTTTAGTAGGTCCTAAGGAAACCCTGTACCAAAAATGGCATTTGTACAACAAAAAATTACTGTTATTAAATTGTTTGTGGGCTCCGAAAAGAAGCCCCCGCCCCCACACCTTTAAATTAAAATTGTTGCCGGGGGCACGTAGTCTAATATCGTCCAGTAGGTCCTAAGGAAGCGCATGTACCAACATCAGTGCTTTTATCCGGCAAGTAACAGTAATTTCACTAGCCACCTGACTAGTATAAGACCAAAGCCTTTGCATGCCCGTCTTTCGGATGGTGACGTTAAAGGTCGGACCCAGACGTTACTAATTATATCTGATGGATACACATCTGTAAAACCCCAATTACACTCACACACGCCCTATTGTTCAAGTGCCCCCTAAACGGGTGAATTCACGATAAAATACATAGATTGACCAGTGTGGAGCGTAAAATGGTGTTGTATCCTTTACTCGCATCGGGTTGGCGTGGCCAGTAGCTATATACCCCAAGTTCCGCTTCGTTGCCTTTTTAATAATATATTGAATTTATTGTTCACTGTTGCGGTATAACCTCAGAATTCCCGTTAGATCAGTTATAATCATGGTTGATTAATTACACTTAATTATGGACGAAATACACTCTCTTTGATAAAAAGAAAAAGAAAAAAAGAAGACCTACAACTGTTTTAACGGGCTTTTAATTTTTCAACATTATCCCATCTACCTTTTTTTTGTTGTAATTTAAAAAGGAAGCATATTATTTCTCTTTGGAATGAGTCCCCATTTCGAATGGTGTAGGAATGCCCAGTTCAGGCCATGCAGTTCGTGTGAACCTGGTCCGAAAGGATATCATCAAAATGCGCTGATATTAGGGACTTTTAGATTCTGCACGACGAGAACGTGGACTGCCCTTTTAAGGCATGTGACTGGCAGTGACGTCACATTGCCTTAAAAGGGCAGTCCACGTTATCGTCGTGCAGAATCTAAAAGTCCCTATTGTCAAAGATGTATTTCCGTGTGCAATATGAAGTGTCTTTTAAGAGTTTAATTGAAGATATTGCCTTTGTTGCTTGTTATGTTTGTTTTTCTTTGTAGCATTTTTAGCCCATAAAAAAAATCTTCGCCATAATACTCACCTACATGTATGTTGTTGCATTATATTGTATGAGTTAAGTCTTATTTTGAACGTATTTGCACCCAGGTTGTAGAGTAATCATGTACTTTTAAGAATGCTACCAGTTGCCTGATGATTGCTCGCAAGGCGTGAAACTCGGAGTAGCAACCATTTCCACTAGTCTGCCTTATTCAATATATATTTTTGCTCTGTCTTTAGGCATTGAGCACTGTACGGAACGATAGATCAAAGCTAAGTATAGAGAGAGAGAGAGAGGTATATACAGTGCGACCCAGAGAAAACGAAACCGAGAATTATCGATGTTTTATCCTAATTTAATCACAATTATGATCAATGAATGACACATATTTGTAAAGCTTATATCCTCCTCTTTCATTTGATACAACTCATAATAATTTATGATGCATATTTCACGCATGCATGATTAAAAGCAGTTTGAAGGAAGGAAACCAAAAATTCATTTGGCCGGCGGTATATCGAAAGTGTTTTTTTTATTAAGCTTAATATAAACTAAAGTGTTTTCCTATCAAGCTTGGTTTATCGAAAGTGTTTTCTTTGGAGCCTGATATATCGAAAGTGTTCTTCTATCAAGCTTAGATATAATTAAAGTGTTATTCTATCGAACTTGTTATATCCTGGTCGTGGTCATTCTCTTGGTATTATAACCAAACAATTCGGTGCGTATCAACTTTCAAGACCGATCAGCAACACAAAGTATACTTATTCATGAATGTCACATTCAGTTACTCTTATTACTCTGATAGATTGTACGCTAAATGGGAATATGTATATATATTTTAAATCAGATATTGGGATCATGGCGATATTTTAAGTACGAGATGTGATTTGAGAATTCAATTTTCCGTTTACGTGTTATGTCTATGTGGAGTCTTTTTGGTATATTGGTCAAAGCACTTGTCTTCCATTCTAGAGACCGAGGTTCAATTCCCGGTCGGTTAACTAAGTGTTATGTCCATTGAAATCACCACAAATTACCAAGTTACAAGTTATGTTCATTGTGGTAATAGATGTGTTTTACTTAGTCTTTTGCAGGGATTATACAAGTTTTCAATAATATTTTTTGTTTTGGATCGTGCACTCCAGGGTTTGAAGCTCCCCACTTGGTTCTTTTGTTCTCTCTGTATAATAAGATACAACTATGCTATCATTTCTAGTATAACACACCCACCTCTGGGAAATGTGTTTCTTATAAATACGAACCATTATAATCCTGAAATGATTTACAGTTCTCGTCTTTAAGCCACGTTTCCTGAATACATATAACATGCGGTTTTTCGTTTAGATTATAAATGTAATGTTGACATTCATCCATGCAATGGATTAAACCGTGTGCATTCCACTGCGCTATGTACAACACTTGGATTGCGTCACCAATCATATTTCTCACTTCTTTTTTTTAAAAGCTTTTTTGCCTTAATTCAGATCTTCATACATTTTGTAATTATACAAAATGATGAATAGGAACACAATTGTTCTTACAGTATAAACATACATGTAGTACATTGTCTCATACAATGTAAACACAGACATATTTTAAAAATATTTTCCATAAGTATCCAAACTAATATAGTACACATTCAAACAAGTGTACAGAATGTGCTCCAATTCCTTTAAAAAAGGAAAAGGTGACGGTAATACTTCATATTTATATTTTTGGATAAAACATTATAAAAAGGAACAATTTTTACAACATAATATGCAAATTAATTAGTTCATTATAAATTGACCAATCTGAACAAAGATTTTCTTATATAAACAAAAAGTATAAGGTGAAGGTGCTGCTTCATAACCCATGATAACAAAATTTGTTATATTTTCATATAATGATATGGTGCATTTTTCATTATAACTATATAAGGGTCTTGTATCAGTGGAGGTCTGTAACTATACCGTTATTTAAACAAATATATATATATATATATAATATAAAAAACAAGCGAACACGATAGCTGCGTTCTCTCATCCTGCAAGAGCGCCATCAACGTCGTAGGTTCTATTTTTATGTTTAAAATGCCTTTTCTCTTTTCAGTTACTATTTGCACTATGTTTTCCAACTCGTTTTCTGCTTTTGTCAGATATTATTACTATGTATGCCAAAAACTCGACGAAACTGTCCTTTATTTGGATGTGGTTCAAGGGTTATGGAGGGACGTAATGTTCTCTTTGTTTTGGAATTGAACGCATTCCTGTGCCTGCTCCTGATGGAACATTGGGGTCATTCACATAGTCATGATTGTTACCTTGTTGTTATTGTTGTTGGCTTTATTGACGCTATCCATCGATTCCGACGATTTCCGCCAAGGTTTGCGTGGGATGGGCGTCTTGTTTTATAGTCATAATCGGCTCAGGATTAGCATTATCAATGGTGTGATTTGGGGTTGAGTTTCTTTGGATACTTATCTCTTTTGAAGCTAGAGCATTCATAACGGGTTTTGTTTTGATTTGTTTAGCTGCTTCAGCATAGGAAAGGGTTAGGTCACTTTTCATTTTGAGACGTTTTTTTTTATTTTTTATCCTTGTACTTTGGGCATCTTGGATAAGCTGCCGAGTGTGGGCCTGAACAATTCACGAATTTGGACGCCAATTCTTGATAAGGGCAATCTCCACAACATCTTTAACAACGCTGGCTTTTTGAGCGACATTTTTTGCTCAAATGACCGAATTTTGGCATTTGTAGCAATACATATTTACACTGGATTTTTATGCGGCTTTAAAGTTTGGTAGTACATATGGGAAATCCAAAACGGACTGGAAAAAAAACTTATGTCGACCCCAACGGCCAGCTATAATCATCATCAGGTGAACGCTTATTCCGAGACAGCACGCACTTGGATATGAAGCTCACTATGGTTTATGCTTTATGAATGTCGTAGATGGTAGTATTGGCGTCAAATTCTACTAAACTTGGTGTTTACTTCGAAACATTGGTGTAGCTACGTGGAGCACAAGAGAGTAACCATGAAAGATATGAATGGTAAGAAGGTGATATCATTTTGTCTAGCAGCGCTTACGTTTTTTTCAATTGGTGAATTTTACCGATTTGATGTCCTTAGGAACAACCAGAACGATATTCACAACGCGCCCCCGATTGCTCCACACTGGTTAATTCGGAATGCTAGCGGAGTAAGAAACAACCTGCTTGAACCAGAAGCTGACGTGGAGAGTTCTTCCCACCTTCAAAATGAAACATCGCAATCTGAAACTAAGCCACTTTGTTACCGTCAGGTCCAGATATGGAGAGGCAGCGCGAGCCCCCAGACGCCGGAAAAATCTCAATGCCCAGGGCTTGAATGTGGAATTAGCTTGGTCGAGGATACGAGTTATGAGACCATGGTGAAAAGTGACTCCGTAGTTTTCTTTCATCGATCGCGGTGGGATTGGACAGAGATGCAAAGGAGACGCCCATTAAATCAAGCCTGTTTTTTCTATTCCTTAGAGAGTCCTCGATACACGAACGGAAATGCAATACCACCCAGTAAATATGACCGCATATACAACTACACGATGTCATACAGGCCATCGTCAACGATACACTTACCGTATGGTTTCTATGATGAGACCATACCGCAGATTTCTTCTGATAAAAATCGAAATTGGGCCAAGGAAAAAACTGGATTAGTGGCCTGGGCTGGATCCAATTGCGGTACAGCTTCTTGGAGGCGTTATGAATTTGTTAAAACACTTGCAAAGCACGTCAGCGTCGACATGTATGGAGGTTGTGGGAACATAAAGTGTCCTAGGAACTCAGATGACTGCTGGGAGCGCATTAGGAGTCATAAGTTTTACCTGGCAGTGGAAAACAGTGAATGCAGGGACTACATCACAGAAAAGTTCTGGTCTAATTCTCTCAGCCATGACATTGTACCCATCGTCTATGGCCCTCCACGGGGAGATTATGAGCGCGTTGCGCCCCCCAATTCATTTATACATCTACAGGATTTTAAAGATTTTGCTGAGCTCGCCTATTATATACACCTTCTTGATTCAAATGAGACATTGTACAATTCATATTTTGAATGGAAGAAGCAAGGGTCAGTACGGAGCGTTAGAGAAAAGGCACTTAAATCTGCACCATTTATGTGTAAAGTAGTCGCGAAAGTATTAGATTATGAAAAGAAATTAACCGGTCGTTACAAGGGTGAGTACCAGGGAGAGGAAAAGGAGCATCCTTCCATACACGATTTCTGGTCAACCTCTTGCATTAAACCAACCGGCTTCCCACATGATTTCTAATGTCATTCCTGATATATATCGAGGGGTCAGTGACACAAAGACGTAACTCCATTTTGGCCATTTTAAGAAGAAAAAAAAAGGTGGTTTATGTGTCACTGAACACTTGGGCCTTAAGGAGATAAGTCTACGTATCACTAGCCTTTGAAATCAATGGGGTGTTGGTGGAGTTAAGTCTTTGTGTTTCCTGGAAAGCACACATTTTTTTGAACATATTAATATAAAATACTCATTTTGGCAAAATGTGGAGTTACGTCTTTGTGTCACTGAACCCTCGATATAAAATACCTGTATTTCACAATTCATAACTAAATCAAAAATCTAAATCTAAATCTAAATCTAATTAATCTGTTACCAAAGTAGAAAAGGACCTAGGTGTCCTTGTAGATTCACAACTATCATTTAAAGATCACGTCTCCCAAACAGTTCTCAAAGCAAATCGAGTACTCGGAGTTATCCGTAGGACATTTATGTACCTAAATACTGACACTATGCCGTTTTTGTTTAAAGGCCTCGTTAGGCCCATATTAGAATACGGACAGGCCGCATGGTCCCCGTATAGACTAGGAGAACAGAGGATGTTGGAAAGCGTACAAAGACGTGCAACAAAGATTATTCCTGGCCTTAGAAATTTATCTCTTTTTTTTTTTTTTTTTTTTTCTTTTTTCTTTCTGTTTTTATTGTTTTTTCTGAAAAATTAACAGAGTAAAAGCAGCAATATAAAATAAAATATCATTTTAAAACTACAAAACAGGCACGCACTCATGCACCCATAAACACGGAAAAAACACACACACACACACACTCATATACTTTCCCAGAGGGCAAGTTTACAATTCAAAAAGCCAATGAAGATGTTAATGACAACAGAGCTTTGCAAGACTACTCCTAAATTTCAGTTAAACTTGATAGACCATTTCTTAAAATGGACTTGTAAATTATTTTTCTTTTGGGTAATTTTATATTCTATTTTTTGTTTGAACTTTACCATTGAAACAAATGCTTCGAAAATAAGTTCTTTTCCCTGAAACCTACATGAGTAAATGTAATATTTTAAACATAAACAGATAAAATTTATACAAGAGGCGTATTTGTCCCTTGACTGTATCCCAAACAAAAAATTAAATTTTGACAGAGTCAGATTATAACTGTGATCAGTGCCAGTGTTAATCTTATCCACCAATTTTTCCCACAGTGGTACAACTCTCCTACAGTCACAAAACAAGTGATCTAAAGTTTCTGGAAAATCTGAACAAAAATAACAATTAGCCGACTCCTTTCTCCCAATCTTGAACAAAAATGCATTAAAACCAATAGCATTATGGTAAATTTTGAAATAAAAACTCCTTAACTGAGTCTCAATTGTGCAACAAAAGTTACTCGTATGAATAATCGACCAATCCTTCTCTTTGGGTTGATGGCCAAAGAGTTCCTCCCATTTACTCTCCCTTTTGGCATTAGTACAACTATATTTCTTTAGCAAAATATTGTATGTATACTTAGACATTTTCTTTTGACTTAATAGATCTTTAAAAATTTGATTAAATATATTCTCATCCACATTGAGAGAATTATCAAACCACTCCAAAAATATGCCATTCATGAGGGAGTCATATTTTCTTTGGTCTCTAATAGGAATGTCAAACTCAATTACGAGGTCTTCAAATGTTTTGGGGTTACCAAAACCATTATGTAATTGAAAAATGGAATGAATACCCCTTTCATACCAAACTGGATAGAAAAAATGTGTTCTATATTGCAATCTTACATTTCTATTCCACAAATAAAATCTTGTAAATGAAACTGACATAAACCTAGTTCTCTTTTCATCTCTTGCCTATATAAATACCATGTCTTAATAGACGCTGTTAACTGGCAATTTTTAAGTTTTGCCAAAACCGAATCAGGGGCATCTGCCTTAAAAAGGGCAAGATGGTCATCACAAAAGGTAGAAAGAATATATATTTCTATTGTTTTCCAACAACTTTCATATTTATCGTCTAAGAGTTTAGCCATCCACAAAACTTTCTGCGCTTGTGCAAAAACTAAAGGATTAATCATCCTTAGACCCCCTTCTTCATAATCATTGCATAATATATCTCTCTTAACTCTGTCATTGCCATTGCTCCAAATGAATTTAAAAAGCAAACCATTTAATCTTTTAAAGAAAGAGTTTGGCAGGTCAATGCATAATACTGAAAACAAAAATAACATTTGGGGGAGTAAAAGCGACTTTACAACAGCAATTTTGCCCAACAAGGATAGGCTTCTATGCCTCCAACAATTTAAAATCTGTTCTATAATGACAAGTCTGGGAACAAAATTCAGTTCGTAAAGCATTTTTGTGTTCAATGAGAAAACCACTCCTAAAGCCTTAAACGTTTTTGATTTCCAATTCAACCCTAATGCATCTTGCGGAATAACTGTACTGCCTTTCAGCTTTCCTATATGAATTGCATCTGACTTACTTAAATTAATGCGACAACCTGAAAATTTTGCAAACTGAGTCAACGTTTCAAATAAATGTTTAAAGGAAACTGTTTCCCCATTCAAAAAACAAGTTGTGTCATCTGCAAAAAGACTTATCTTCTGTTCAAAATTGCCAACTGAAATTCCCTTTATCCCTGGATTGTGTCGTACTGAAATAGCCAGAATTTCAATAGCTAGTATAAATAAAAGAGGGGTTAGAAATTTATCTTACCAGGAGCGCTTGACCCAACTCCAATTATCAACTCTTGTTCACAGGCGTAGAAGGGGGGGGGGACATGATCGATGTGTACAAGTACTTGAATGCCTTGTACAATGTGCCAGAGATTCCCTTTAAATTGAGTACAGAAGATAGAACTCGAGGTCACTCTAGAAAACTGGAAAAGAAATATTCAAGGCTAGATATCAGAAAATACTTTTTTAGCAATAGAGTCGTGGAACAGTCTGTGGAACAGCTGTGGAACAGTCTCCCAGAAAACGTTGTGGCAGCTGGGTCAGTCAACTCATTTAAGAATAGACTGGATAGTCACTGGTCAAAGAATGCTAGCCTTCTGTATGAGCCGGTCTAGGTGTTGTCTGTTGTTTCATGTTTTACACAACCTCCTCCCTCCACACATCGCAGTTACCATGGAAGAATCCTGGATCGATGAACAGGCTTAGACCTACAACATCGTGTATTAAAGTAAGTAAATCATTCGAACCCTTTTCAGGTGGGCTGTATAACGTACAGACCACTTTATAATTTCGTTAGAATTGCCTTTATTATTTATTTTTCCTATTTCGAACCACTTTTTTGTAAGCACGATTACTTGAAAATGGCTCAGTCAAATGCTTTGAAATTCGGCACACAAATGTACAGGCATATGTACAGAGCACAATAACATTTTTAACATTGACCTTTACTGATGACGTCATCTAGGCGCCATTTTGTAAAATTTTCGGAAAATCAACACACCAGTCATGATCATATCTTCATAACCAAAAGGCATTTCTCATTCATATTTATCACGATCAAGGTCAATATCCTTCCGGTCAATTTCAGGTAAGTTAGCGCGTCAATGTGCGCCCAAAAATTTAAAATGCTCAAAATCATTTCAAAATCATTTTGCATACGTTTTAGGCCATTCTAAGCATTTTATAAAAAAATCGCGCACACGCGCGTGCGCGCGCGTTTTCGCGCGTAAAACTATTACACAACATAGAATCGCCATTTTTTTTCTTTCATAATATTCCACATAATTTTGCAAAGAAATTGATACCAGGTTTGTCTCTTTATGACAATTAATAACGGAATGATCGACCGTTTAACAAAAAATTCCGTGCGCGCGAGCTCTTGTAATACATAGCATATATGGGCAAAAACATGCCTATACAAAATCCATCGTAGCTCTTTAGGATTGAAGCTGACCCTAATTTTTTTTTCATATTGTGATAGAATATAAATTGGACATATGATTTCATGTCTAATTTGACCCTTAATTAACTCATGACGTCATCATAATGGCCTCCGAACTCAAAATTCTAATTTGCATATTATGTCGTCATCATATTTTTGGAAAATTGATTGTATCTCTGTAAATATTGATTGATTTTCTTCCAAATTTTGATATGTTCTACCTGAGAATATTTTCTGCAAATACAGTTACAACGATATTTCATTTTGACAAAAGCATCATGTCGTATTTTTGCGATTAAAGGAGGCATGTCAATTTTTTACATTTTGCGTGTATTCTCTAAGGGACATTACTTTTTCTCAAAACTGGGTTCTACATTTCCGTCTTTCGCGAGCAATATCTCCGTCGTTTTAGCTGCGTCTACGCTGAACTTCGAGTATGTTGTAGCTGAGACAATAAGCTATCTCAAATTTGCCCTTTACTTTGTCTTAAATTTTAGTTGGACCAGCCCACCTATACTTGTTCCAAACAAGTATTACAAATCTAGTTATATATTGTCATTTATTTTTATGTGAACACTTTTTTCTTCTCCTAATTTGTATTCCTTGATAATGTGACATTATCAAACCTTGCGTCTAAGAGTATTCAAAGTGCAGTCCCCCTTTCATTTTGAGTTATGAAAACCACAAAATACGACAAATTTACAAGGGGTAAGATTAAGTTAGTTGTATATATTTGTAGTTGAATATATGTTTATATATATTTGTATATATATATATATATATATATATATATCAATTCTTTAGAAACTCTGAAGAATGAAAGCTTCTAGATTTTAATTCGAGTTATTGATATTTGAGAATTCATTCGAACCTTAATTGGTGGTGGTGGTGGTGGGGGGGGGGGGGGGGGGGGGGGGGGGTAAGAGCACATTTTTTAAAAAAAATTGGCCGGGGGGGGGGGGGAGGGCACGTTTCTGTTTTCCAGTACATTTTTGGCGAATTTGGGGCTGGTTGTAACACTTTTTTGGCCGGGGGGACGTTCCCCTTGTGCAGGGCTCAAATTAACTTTTTGTCCACATGGGCTCTTCCCCCCAAAAAGATGTAAACATGAGATGGTTTCAGTTCAAGATACTGAATAGAATTATTTATATGAAAGATGCTTTGTTAATGTTTCAATTAGTTACAGATAACTTATGTACATTCTGTAATAACAGTGAAGAAAAGATTAAACATAAATGTTGTTATTATATTTATTCAAACGAAATATGGTAAAAACTTGAGTATTGGCTGTCTCGTAATAATCTACTTATTAAGTTTAAAAATTAAAATAAATTGTAAAAATGAAAACAGT